GCGTTTCTCAGAGCCACGGTGAAAGGGATTGCAGTGTAGATGGGGTTGAAGGGGCCGTGGGTGGCCCTTCTACTGAATGCGGAACATGGAGGGAGAAGGACTTCCTAGACATTCACAATTTTAAGGTAAACTCTGAGCAAAGGTGAGACTCTTCTCTTTTGCTGCGGTCTGACTCCTTGACTCTAAGAGCTGGGCTCAGAAGGGGAGAGAAGAATCTGCTTTTATTTCTTCATGAGCAGTAATTCAGTTTATATGCAGAAAAAGTATTTTTTTAAAATTCACTGTGGAAGAAAAAAAAAAGGCATGGTAAAGATATTAGTTTTGATCTTTGTGGTCCTTTATTTTTTCTGTGCTGCAGATACATTTTCTTTCCCTTGCTGAGAGTGTTTGAAGGCCAAAAAAAAAAGAAACAAAAAAAGCATTTTTCTTTTGTGTGCATTCATTAGATAAGCGGCAAAGCAGGCGTTTGGGAAAAGTAAACCATCAAATATTTAAATATTAACCAAATCTCTTTGAATGGATTGTAAATATTGGAGCTTTATCGTTTTTGAAAGCGTTAGCAGTCCAGGCTCGGGACCTTCAAAGTTAGTTCATGCCACCCGATACGTTTGGGTGGAGAGCTGTCCTGAAAGTATAATTCTTTTCTGAGGAACGAGAAAAGGAAAGGAAAGCTTAAGTCATTTTTCTTCTTCTTTTCCTTGTTTGTGTTTGCCTGTCTTATGGTAAAAGAACTTTCGACTGGCTTATTGTAGACAACCCTTGGGTTGTCTGTTAAGGGTCCTTAAGGGCAGGCAAGAGACATGGCCAGAGTGAAGCTCCTATCGTCTGCTATAGTTATTGATGTTTTCGATTCCAGGAACATTCAAGACAGATCGCTCCTCAAAGTGTACAACAAAGACCCCGCCCATGCGTTTAATCACACACCAAAAACTGTGAACGGAGACATGAGGGTAAGTGTTTCTGTCCTATTTTTTATTTTATTCCATGGGTCAAACCGTCTCTTCTTCTTCTTTCTTGTACTCCTGATATAATCATATCATACTCCACAACCAGATTTTGGGGGGTTCTCTCCACTCATCTCACTCCGTGATAGAAAAGTAAGATTTCATGGTCATTTGGGGGAAAGGTACTGAAACGGGGCTGCACACAACCTATTTCATCTCTAAGCGGGCAGCTAGTTATGTCCTCATGCCAAGGAAATCCTGAAAATCTTCACATAAAAGGGTCCATGTCCATAATACATTAACCTGCTCAGAAGATCTTTTGCATTTTTTTTCTCCTGTTAAAACAAAGCTAACATACAAGCAAAAGTATACAATTACACAGAAAATCTATTCACATTCTCACATTAGTGATTCTGCGTCCTAGCTTTCTAATTCAATTTCTCACCTTCTAATTCTAGACTTTTGCTATTCCACTGTATTAAATATTATCAAATCTTCTCTAAACCGTGTTGAGGGCAGAGTACAAAAATCTGCATGATTTGGGAGTTCGGTTCTCTAGATTTAGATCATCTCAGGAGATTATCCGAACTTTCAAAGCATAGAGGGATGTTTGGAAGGAAAAATAAGAGGAAGTTGAAAACGCAGATTTTAAGATCACATTACTGCAGAACCACTAGTAGGGGATTGAGTTTCTGAAAATAATGCTATGTTCCTATGTAGCAAAAATGGGAGGTAAAAAGATTAGCTTCTCAGTTGTACACCTTCTACACACACACACACACACACACACACACACACACACACAGAAATTCAGAAGGTTCTGCACCATTTTTCCTCATCTTTTCTGTGGATTAGCACTTGGTTGAATGCTCAAGTTTAACTAGAAAAAAAATAAATAAACTAATAGGTTTTATTGCCAAAGAAACCCAGGCCTGTGCTGCCTGGAACTGTAGTTCGTTCCTGAGCCAGGCTGTCTCTGCTTCCTGAGAGCGTGTGTGAGTTTCCTATTGCTGCTGTAACAAATCGGGATGAATTTAGTGGCTCAAAACAACGCAAATTGACTATCTCACGGTTTTAGGGTCTGTAGACGGTCACAAGTCTCACTGGTCTGAAATAAGGGGGCACTGGCTGGGCTGCGTTCTCTTCTGGAGGCTTCTAGAGAGAATCTGTTTCCTTCCCCCACCCCTCCCCCAGCTTCTAAAGGTCACCACATTTCTTGGTTGGCAGTTTCTTTCCTCTGTCTTCAAACCCAGCAAAATAACATCCCTCTGACCCTCTTTCTGTGGCCACATCTCTAAGCCTCCCTTGTCCACTTTTAAGGACACTTGTGACTACATTGGGCCTACCCAATACTCTAGAAAAATCTCC